GCCACAGAGGTGGTCACCACCCACCCCCCCCCCCCCCCCCGCCGTCGCTGAGGCTTGCTTTCCCAGAGGCAAAAATGGACACCCACACATTCGATTAGCTCATGCCCACCTCTGAGCGCTGGGGGAGACATTACGGACTCACAGGTCAGAAAGCAGCCCCACGTCAGCTCAGCTGCCCACGTACCCATCACAGGGCCCACACACACTGCTTCTCAGAGCCTCTCGCTCACAGGGCCCCTCCTGGTGGTCGGCGAGTCTGTGAAGGAGCCAGGACCCCTAGACTTTCTCTTCCTCCCGCTGCGCCTGCAGTTATGGGGGTATCGGAATAGTCGCCTGGAGCCAAGAAATTCTGTGAGCAGCTCTAGCCCCTAGCACTTCCACCGAAAGGTTCCTAAGGGGACACGTATCAACCACACCGTCGCACCTGTCCTGTTGGCCTGCAGCAGGGGCAAAGGGTGGAGGGGGGCCAGGAGCCCGCCCCCGATCTCTGGTGAGTTGTCTGGTCATCTGCCTCCCACAGGACATCTCTGGCCAGTGCATGTGAATGTCTAACCGCCCCCTCCCCCGATGGATATTGGCCACTGTCTCCTCCACTGGCCTCTCAGTAACCATCCACGTCGTTCCCGAAGGCCAGAAGGGAATGACAGCCCCCGGGTGGCCTCTGCCCCATGGCTCAGCCTTTCCCCTCTCTCTCACCCCATGTCCTTTTGACAGCAGGAGGGTCCTTTAACTCTCTGTCCAAATGCCACCTCTTCCGTGAGGCTGCGGTCACCCAGCCAGATGATATGTCTCGCTGCTCAGAGTTCAGCATCTGTATATTCCAGTGGGGCTTGTCCAATAATCACTGAGGGAAATATCCTGCCTTCCTTAGCAAACGATGAGCTCCTGGGGGCTCTATCTGTATTTGAAGCATGTTTCTACTTCCCCCAGCCCACACAGAGCATAATAATGCCTTCACAGAGTAGGCATTTCATAAATATTAGATGAATTAGTTAATTAATGAATTAACCTGCCTTAGTAACTTGTTCCATTATCCAAATCCCTTCTTACTGAGAGAGACAGTCTTCCCCTTGCTTGAGCTAAACCTCCCTCCCTGACTTCAATCTTTTGCTCTCTACTTGTTCTGTTCTCAGTGGAAAGGTAGCACTTGACCGCCCATCCCCAGGGCACAGTCCTTCAGACTGGACAACCCTCGGCCCTCCCCTCCCTTGGCGGAACCTCCCGGCACCTTGCTTTGTCCACACGTCCTCCTCCGCAGCCCGTCACTGCAGCCTGTCTCCCCTTGGTCATGTTCAAGTGTGCATAGGAGCCAGTTCTGGGGCTATGATAGCAAGGGCCTGACCCCCAGGAAGGACCAAGGGACAAGCTCGTGGCTCCAAAACCCCATAGCATAAGTGCAGCGTCTTGAGGAATGGCATAGAACCCCCGTCATTTTCTGGATGGACCCCTCTCCTGTGTTCTCCCCACCCCTTGCCCACCTGGCAGTTCAACTTCTAAAATCAACCCAGGAAATAATATCCGAACATACATTCGTTCTTACCCCCCCACACACACGCATTTTGCCAGGAAAATCAGTCCTAGTTACTGCCCTAAAGGAGCTCCAGCCCCCCAGGGAAGGTGGCAATGCAAACCACCACCTCACCGCCATGTGACAGCTGTCATGGTGAAGGTGCACACCGGGTGCTGCGGGCTCTGGCTTTGGGCCTCTGTGGGAAGGAGAACTGGACCAGGACCGGTTCTGTTTGGCCTAAGGAAATAGATTGGAGGCATATCAGGGTCTCTGCCGCGATTTCATCAAAAAGTCCAATGAGGCCAGAAGCCTCGGTCTGATCTCGGCACCCAAACAAGCCAGGGGGTGGGGCGGGAGATCAGTGGAGCTCAACAGAGAGACCTCTGGGAAATCTCAGCAACGGGCATTGGGCTGTTACCAGAGTCAGGGTTCTAGAGAAATCTATGTGGAGATACCCAAGGCCCAGCAAACTATCCAGAATACTGGGGCAAGGCCCCAACCCAGGGGAGACGGGGATGGGGAGATCCAGACGATGACCAAAGCCCCAGAAAACCTGGCTGGACTTTGGGCCTGGATGTGGGCCCTTGGTGGAGCACACGGTGGGAAATAAGTACAAATGCCCAGCGGTGTTCACCCAGGCACGAGCTAAGGGTGGGAGTGGTGGGTGTTCGTGGTGCATGGATGGAGCCCCTGTGGCCGGATAAAGGGTGAGGTGGGAGATGACATTGGGAAGGTTCAGTTAAAGGCCCGGCTGAAGGGTATGGCTCTATTCCCAGAGGTCATGGGGGCAATATCCCTCCTAAATGTCGCTTCCTCTGGACCTAGGCTCTTGATCGAGAACTTGCCGAGGGATCCAAAGGGCTGCCAAAGGTTATTCTATGCCCACACCAGGCCTCTCTGCTGCGGCGGCTCTCTGCCGAGCCCTGAGAATGTTTAGGGTGCGGGGAGGGCCTCCGGCATGCATAGGATGCTAACCCTCCTTTCCCCCCCAGGGCTCGCCCTTGCTGGTGGCCACTGTGAGTGGGCCTAGCGTGGAAAGTGGCAGGCTTCCCTAGAGGGTGGGGCTGGTGCCTGGGAGAAGGCCAGAGGACTGTGGACAGCCTTGTAATTTAATTATTTGACTGCAGAAAGGAGATCTCATCTACTGGGTGCTCATCCTTGTTAAGCTAATTGTCTGTCTCCTTCTCTCCCTTCTCCCCCCACTTGCTGGGGAAGTCACTGTGGCCTAATTGAGTTATCATAAAGATAATGGCTGGTGCTCTAGCCAGAGCTGAGAAAGGAGGATCCCTCTCACGGCAGCTCAGGCTCCAGACAGGACCCACAGGGGCCAAGATGTGGGCGGTGGGGCGGGCTGGATCTCGGAGGATGGGGTGCGGGGAGAGGGAGGCTGCGTGGATGCCACTTAGCGGGACAAACAGCAAACTGCTTGCCTCACAAATGACAGGGCTCTCTCTCTGCTCCTCCGTGCCACCCAAAGGGAGCTCACGGATGAGACAAAAGGGTCATTGGGCTGGGCTTGTCTGGGGCTTTCTCAGAGAGGCATGCAGGCAGCATAAGGGAGAGAGCCTGGACTCTGAGAGCAGGCAGACCGGGTCCCAAATCCCACCGTCACCTCTTAGGAGCTGGATGACCCAGGGCACATTACTTCTCCATTCCGAGCCTCAGTTTTCTCGTCTGTAAACTGGAGACGGTTAAGCCCACACCACGTTATTGGTGGGAGGATTCGGTGAGAGGGTGAGCATAAGGCAGACGCAGCAACCAGTGACAAGGGCTTCCCCTCACCTGTGCTAACACTTGATGACAGCGGACAGGGCTGGGGCGGGTGACGGCACCTCGGCAGGAGGAGGCCAGCGGGCAGCACCCTGGGTTTAGGCGCACAGCTGTGGGGCATGCACAGGGGACAGTCTCAGAGCCACCCTTCCTCCACCCCCAACATCCGGGGCACAGCATCCCTGTCGATCCCAGGCCCCCAGAGAGCCGACGCATCTTTGGGATGAGAAAGTGACACAGGGCCATCGAGGAGCAGCAGGGCCGTCAGGGTGAAAGCCAAGCTGTGTCCACAGGCAGATGGGAATCAAGAGGCACGTGAATCATCACCAAATTCCGGGGAAAATCTGAGGATCAGGATTAATGCCGGCCAGCCAGTGCCCTACACAGAGACAGTGGGTCCAGGCCTGGGTGGGCAAGGGGATGGGCACCAAGGGACAGTGGCACCCCAAGGGATCCTGCGTGTATGGAACAAGGCCCTGGTGCCCCCGGGAACTCTGTTCCCAGCCCCAGGGTCAGGAGGAGTCGGGTGGGGCAGGGAGCCCGTGCTGCTGGCCAGGCTGGAGCCAGAGGGGCTGGGGGCTGACAGCAGCACTCCCCCTTGCCTTCCCAGTACCCCCTCTGATCCAGCCCTTTGAGTTCCCACCTGCCTCCATCGGCCAGCTGCTCTACATCCCCTGTGTGGTGTCCTCGGGGGACATGCCCATCCGTATCACCTGGAGGAAGGACGGACAGGTGATCATCTCAGGCTCGGGCGTGACCATCGAGAGCAAGGAATTCATGAGCTCCCTGCAGATCTCCAGCGTCTCCCTCAAGCACAACGGCAACTACACGTGCATCGCCAGCAACGCGGCGGCCACCGTGAGCCGGGAGCGCCAGCTCATCGTGCGTGGTGAGCAGAGAGGCCGGTGGCGAGGGAGGGAGGGTCCAGCTCGGTCCGCTGCTGACAGTCTCTCTAGATTCAAGCTCTGAATCACGGGCTGAGGGAACGTTGGCTCCATTGGGAAGCCTTAGAGATCAAGAAATCCAAGTCTCTTACTTTCCGGACCAGGACCCGGAAGACCCTTGGGGGAGGAGAAGACCCTTTTTCAGCTAGTCATTGACAGAGTCAGAGCTGGGGACTCAGGACTCCCGGTGCTCAGCAAAAGCCCTCAGCATCTTGGGTTTCAGAGCTGCCTGCTGCCGGCTTGATAATGGTCCAGACGGGGCTGGCACAGAATGGAAGGCACCCAAAGCTCTAGAAGACCCGTTAGAGACAGATGATCTGTTTCTCCCCGCCTTCCCTCTTTCCGCAGTGCCCCCTCGATTTGTGGTGCAGCCGAACAACCAGGACGGCATCTATGGCAAAGCTGGTGTGCTCAACTGCTCAGTGGATGGCTACCCCCCGCCCAAGGTCATGTGGAAGCATGCCAAGGGTGAGCCCCTGGCCAGCCAGCGTCTCCGAGCACGGTCAGGGAATGGGGAGAAGGGACTTGGGCCTGTTTCCTGCACACAACTCCCAGCCTTGGCAGGGGTGCAGAGGGGTGGCGGGAGCCGGGTTCTGAGCTTTAATGGGACGCCAGGCTATACTTGCTCTGGAGATTATCCTCAGCCACCCCTAGGGCTCTGCAGACCAGGAACGACGGTCGTGCCGACTCCAAATTTCCTCTTGTCCCCACCGATTGATCTCTCCCCTCCCCCCATCCAGCCCTAGAACTCCGCATCTGCCTGCTTTCCCCAGCCCTCCCCACCCTGCCCCGGGGACCCAGAACCTCCTTGACTCCCGCTTGTCACCAGTCAACTTATTCTGGGATTATGGTCCTTCTTGGAGCCCTTCCTCTTCCTAGGGATACATTTGGTATCTAGGTCCCATGCTAGCCCCTTGTTGTAGACCATGCCCATCACTGATACTGGGGGAATGGGGAGGAGGTACCGCAAAGCCCCCCTTGGAGGACGGCTGGCCTCTATCCAAGACCAGGTGACTGCCACTGGAGGGTTCCATCTCCCCTTTGCCTGTGGCCAAGCAGCCAGAAAACAACTCTTCCTCTCCAAGTGCAGCCCCGAAGTTCAGTGCCCAGGTGGGCATTGAGCTGAGGCCCCCAACTCCACCTCCTTACCTGAGAGCCAGGGCAGGGCCAGGCCTCTGTGAGGCTCTTCCTGTCGCCCAGAGGAGTCCTTCGGGGTGCCACAAAATAGGCCTAGAGCAGCAAGAGAAGGCCATGAGGGCATCCCTTGGGGCAGCCCTTCCCGACCCAGATGGTTTGCCCGCTCGCCCGGGGAACCAGCCCCCTAACGGCCGCCTCCTTCCAGGGAGCGGGAGCCCGCAGCAGTACCACCCGGTGCCCCTCACCGGCCGCACCCAGATCCTGGCCAACAGCTCGCTGCTGATCCGCCACGTCCTGGAAGAGGACATGGGCTACTACCTCTGCCAGGCCAGCAACGGCGTGGGCACCGACATCAGCAAATCCATGTTCCTCACCGTCAAGAGTGAGTCCTGCCCGCACGCGGACTTCCCAGCCCCCCCCCCCCCCCCCCCCCCCCCCCCCCCCCCCCCCGACCACAGGCCGGGGCCCGTCTCCGCACCCACCCAGCCTCCCAGCCCGGCTGCCGCTGTTCCAGATGTGGGCGGGAGGCAGGGAGGGCTCCCGGTCGGAGGTGCACTCGGGACCCCCGCTCATCTAAAACAAGGTCCTCTCCCTAAACAGCCCCAGCTCACTCCACTGCCGTCGTGATAAGCTCCTGGTTTGCTGAACCCGAGTACCGGGTCACATTCTGTGCGCTTTGCTACGCAGGTTGGCAGTTCCAACTGCACGATCCTATCAAACACTTAACTTCTGCCGCCCAATACATACCTGCTGTGCGTAACATGTCTGTGGCCTAGAAAGGAGGATACCTCATACACAGTGTGGGGGAAAGGCCTGTGGGCGGAAAACCTTGGGCTCCGAGTCCTACGGGATGAGCCTTGGGACCTTGGCCAGGTCACCTCACCTGTCTAGGCTCCAGCTTCTTCCCTGGGCCTGAGGTTTATTTCCAGCCCACCCCCCCGACCACACTGTCTGAGTAACACGGGAACTCATCACAGAAAGGGGAAGATAGTGGGGGAAAGCCAAAAGAGCAACAAGACACATCACTAGATGCTCTATGGTTTCCAAATCCCCGGACCTAGAGCTGGCCTCGTGGGCCTTGGAAGCCCAGAATATTCCCGAATTCAGTCAAGTCACCCAGATATTCCTACCAGACGAGCCTATCCCTTGACACTCGTAGGGGTCTGTATCATGGGCCCCCAGGTGTCGTGTCAGGGGAACAGTGTCCATCTGGCTCTGGGTCGGGCAACGGACCGTGGGCCACGAGGGACAGCGGTGGGAGCCTGTGTTGTAACACCAGACCGAAGCCAAGTGTGAGTCTGGGCGCCACGTTGTACTTATTGTGACCTTGACGAGCTTGCCTGGCCTCGCCGTACCTCATTCTCCCCGACAGAGAAGATGAAAACTGTGGTAGTACCTTTGCCTGTTACGTTCCGTGTCGAGCGTGCGTCCGATAACATGTGTCAAGCAGCCAGTATGGTCGCTGGCCCCCGGCACGCTGCGGAAAACTTAGCAGTTTTGTTATTCGTACTAACAGTCCCTGCGGGGTAGGTGTGGGAATGACTGCCCGGTGTGGGGTCCCCCGGCTGAGGATCATAGCTTCTTTATCGCCTGCCGGCGCCTGTGTTCAGCTCAGCACAAGACAGGGGAGCCCCAGCGATCGATGCTCAGGGAGCTCCGAGCGCCGGAATCCCCGCCCTGGGGAGCTGCTTCCTCACACTATCAAAAAGCACTTTGTCCTTAATAACACCAGGCAATCAATCTACATCCCTCAGCCGGGGCGGACGTCGCTAATTCTGCCTGCGTGAGGTGAGAGGAATAGCAGGCTCCTTCTGGAACCATCCTTGGTATTTGATCCTTATCTCGCCGCTGTCGGAGGCAGAGAGGAGGGAGCCCAGACCCTTAGGCTTCCCCCGCCCCCTTTTTGCCCTTGTTTTCTCTAAACTAGGGGATCCTACCAGACGAGCCTGGCTGTGGCTTCGTGGCGCATGGTTGGCGGGACAAGAGGGACCTGGGTGATGGGTGATGCGGCAGTCAGGAGGGGGGCTGTGTGAGGAGACTCAGTTCATGTCAGGCCGTCCCTGGTGTCCTGGGGGGGGACCCTGAGCAACTCCCCTCCCCTCCCAGGGCCTGCCTTTTTTCTGTGCTGTCCGCACTGCACAACCCAGGAAGCAGCTATGTGACACCCAGAGATACTCAGAGGAAGCACATTTTGTAAATCCAGCCTTGTGAGCATGTGCAACACAAAATCACACACACACACACACACACACACACACACACACACACACACACAGACACACGGACCTGCTCCCTAATCTCAGCCGCCTTGTCGCTTTCCTTTGCTTCCTTCCACAGCGAGGCACACGCACATGCCTTTCTCACATCTGCTGTCTCACCAACACCTCGGGTCACATTTTCCCGCTCGCCGCACCTCCCTCCCCACCGCCTGTGAGTCGGTCTGTCAGCACCTCCTCACACAGCCTCTGCTCCGCCACCGCCCTCAGCCGCCAGGCTGCCTTCCAGCTGTGCCGTCTCACCCCCCTCGCGCTCGCGTGCTCCTCAGATGGCCTTTTCCTGACACGCTTTCTGTGTCGCAGGCGCCCCCTTGTCTCCCATGCTCCCCAGTGACCTGCCCCAGCCATGCCGGGGGCCCCTGTGCTGCCCCGAATGCCAGCAAGACAGGAGGCGCAGGGCCAGGGGCAACTGAGGCCCGAGGGCAGTGGGTATGGGCGGACTGAGCGCGGCAGGGCCTCTGTCCGGGGCTGGAGGGTCTGTCTACCCTTCTGCAGCAGCCCGAATCACGCTACATACACACTCCTCAGCTGCCGGAAGATTACCTGTGACAGAGTGACAATGTTGAGGAAGGGGGGTGCGCGCTGGGGTGGGGCACGGGTGTTCCCAGTTTTCTTCGGGGACTGTCTCTGAGCTAAACCCTGCTGCGTGTACACAGCCATACTGTTCCAGGTAGCCGACCCCCAGCTAGTCCCCTCGCACGTCCCCCCGTGCTGCTCTGTCCTCTCCTCCTCCGTTCTCCCTGGGCCTTCTCCCATCTCCCCGCTCTGACTTCAGCTAAAAGGGCCCTGGAAGCTAAAAGAGCCGGGCGCATGGGTCATCAATGAGATTGCTGGAGGGCAAGCCATTCCCAGCCATCCCTGACCCATCTCGGACACGGCATCACCAGTGCTCCCCCCACCCACTTGCAGAGCTGGCCACAGAGACCTGCCATTTCCAGGCCTCCCTCAAAGCCCATTTCCAGGCCAGCCTCAGTGCCTCTAACACGCTCGAGAAAACGTTGACCCAATATGGCTCCACCTTATCAGACCTCACGCTTTCTTATTGACCTTAATCCCCACTTTAGACGAAAAGAAAGTAAACACATCAAAGGGACATACGTTATAAAAAGCATCATTTGTGGCTGGTTTCTGTTGGGAAGTGTCTACACCATGGACCCCTACAGTTTCCAATGATAACTCAGTAGATCTCCCCTGAGCACTCACTAAATACATCAATAAAACTCTGACTACGAGCATAGACTTTAGAACCAGACAGATCAGGGTTCGAATCTCAGGTCTGCCCGCTGAGAGCTATGAAGTCTTGGACAGTGATCCCTGCAAGCCCCAATTTCGATACAGTACGTGACACAAAATACGCACGCGATAATCGTTAGTAATCATTAGTTTTGGGTGCTGAAAATCGAGTGACGAGTAAGACACCGTTGCTGCTTTTGGGGAATTTAGAATCTTGAGGAGGAGGGAGACCTATACCCCAAATGACTATAGTGCACAAAATAAATGCCTCCCAAGGCTGCAAAGTGATACAAAGAGAATCAGGGATGGAGAAATCAACTTTAACTTTGGGGTGAACGAGGGAGTGTCAAGAAAGGCACCACAAAAGCAAGAGTCTCTAAGTGGGGCTGGAAGAACACAAGGATTCTGGCAGGAACGGACGGCGGTGGAGGTATCCCACACCAGAGGAAAAGGCATAGCGCGGGGCATGGGGGCAACGAAGGCCACGACTGTCATCTGCTGAGCTGGAACTTAGGTGCCTGCCACACACTGGAAGGAGGAAGGACAGGGAAAATGAAATGCCAGGTGCTGGTGGTTTTTGGAAGCTAGGTATTTTCTTTCTAAGTAGCATGGACTTTTTTTTTTTTTTTTTTGTTGATTCACTTTTGAAAGACAGAGAGAGACAGAGCACAAGCAGGGGTGGGGCGGAGAGAGAGGGGGACGCAGGATCCGAAACAGGCTCCAGGCTTTGAGCTGTCAGCACAGAGCCCGACGCGGGGCTCGAACCTGAGGACCGCGAGATCATGACCTGAGCCCAAGTCGGACGCTCCGCCGACTGAGCCACCCAGGCGCCCCAGTAGCATGGACTTTTGATGGGAGTTGGCATTCCAGAGCTGATGCTTGTAGGATTGCCATGCAGAGCCTATCCTCAGGGCCCTGGGTTGCTAAGGGCATGTTAGAGTGGGCAGGTGGTTTTCCAACCCCCGGACATCCTTGTTGGCAACCAACCGGGCCCTCCTGGCCCCCAGAGTGCTGGTGTGAGCTAAGCCCGTGATTGCCTGAGCGTCCAGGCCAGTCTTGCCGCTTTCACAAGGCCAGCACTTAATAGTTTCCAAGGTTCTTCCCCTGCCTTGCCTGTGAGGTCAGCAGGCAAAAGCTCCTTCTTAAAGAAGGTAGGGCACTGGATCAAGGTCACTGGCAGATACAGTCCCAGCTGAGACCAGAGCTTGCCTCTGTGGACTCATGGTTTGGTAGAAAGAGCAAAGATCTGGAGCCGGAAGACCGGATGCTGGTCCTGGCCCCGTGACCCACCAGCCACGTCTCCAAGAGCCACCCCTTACCGCCTCTGAGCCTCGGTTTTCTCGTCTGTACAAGAAGAGGCCCACACTAGCAGCTAGTCGCCAAACGATCCCAACGTCCTGTCCAGCTCAGACGATCCATGACTCTAGCAGTGTGCACATGGTCCTTTCGGGACACCAGACCTCCTCCCAGAACTTGGTTGAATAAATGCAGTTAACAGAAGAAAATACCACATCCAGCTACCTTTTATCTCCTTTTTAAAATGCAAAAGAGAGAGAGAGATAATGACCAAAAGGAGGAGGAGGAGGCAATCCCTGCTCCAGCGGGCACACAGGAAAAAAAAATAAACCATCTTCAAAGGGAATGCTTTATGGAGAGGCAGGTACAAAGCCAGGCTGCTTAGTCTGGAGTGCAAGGGGCTGCTTGTGTTTTGATGTTGTGCCACCACACGGCAGTGCCTCCCTGGACTCAGAAGCCCTCTTAGGCAGCAGGTTACCTGATTAGACAGGTTCTGTTATATCCCCCAGACTCCCCTCCACTTTGTAAAGGCTCCAGTGATTGGGCCAAGGCAGAACCCATGGCCAATTAAACCCAT